AAAAAATGACGACTGTTTTGTTTTTTATTTTTATTTTTTGTTAATTAGTTTCTTAGAAATTAGCAGTCCCATGATAGAAAAAATGGAAGGTAGTTTCATTGATTGGCATTCGTTGTTGCTGCAGACCAATTGACTTTTAACAAGTTTATGAAATTTAAATAAAATGATGCTATCAGATTCACTAGCAGCAACATTTTTGTTTCTTGAAAAAAAAAATTGTTTAAGTTAGTGAAGTTGGATGAAAAAATTAAAAGAAAAATCCTGCGCGTTTCGAAACTGAAAGAATTCGGTATACCTGTGCAAAGTTTCGAAAATACAGTTTTTTGCTTTTTCGAGAGCAGAGTACGTGATACGATCTAATGCAGTTTGATGACAAATTGCTGACACAAACTGTTTTTAAACCTCTAACCGATGTAGCGTCATCCGTGGCAGAGGGTCCTCCTTCGGATTAAAATGATGTACTGCAACTTGTACTAGTACCAATTTTTGGATTCTCGAAATTCTCTGATAAAGATGTGGCGCTGCTAAAAAAATGTAAGCATGTACATATATATAAGCACGAAACTATCCAAATAAGATGTAAACGACTGCTGTTTCATTTTAGAAAATTTTTGTTTACAGAAGTAGCATAAGTAAGACAGTTTGGGTACGGTTCGGTTATTTGTACAATGATTTTGGGTTATCGTGCCCAAACGCGTGATCCGAATCGAAAAACTTAAACATATACCGTCTAGCCAAGGGATAAACATTTAATTTAAAACAAAGATTTAGATTTGATAACATTTAATTAAAAACAAAGATTTAGATTTGAAATATTCACTTTTCTTGTAAATTTAAAAATCTGCCAGTTTTTCTACCCCAACAGCCCCTTTCACAGGAATTGCAGTAATAATTTCTGAAAACTTTTATTGAGATTATTTAATTTGCAATTATGTATATCATTTAAAAATGCCAAGTCGGGAGCCTTCTCTACATTGTCTTTGAGAATTTCCTCATTAATGTCTTTGGATTTCCGATATATCGTTACTTATAGTTGACTAATCTCATTTAACATTGGCTATTCTCACTTTCAATTGAAGCTTTTGCATTTACAAAAACCGGAATTGGCATAGTTCGATACAGAGCATTCTTCTGTCTATCTTTTTGTTTGGGGCCCCTAAAATATAGGTCGCGAGCTACTAGGCGCCTGGGAACTATCGGTTGGACAACACTATTCTAAAAGATATGGCTAAGAGCCAATTCCCACAAATAGTACGGGTGTCACGCCATAGATATGTATCAGGTTAATAAATACATGTCAGATGAACTCCCAAGAAAGGAAGAGAACCTTCTTGCCCACGATAAGTGCCGCCCTCAAAGGCGGGACACTTTACTATATGCTTGCAAACGTTGGCTGGAAAATAACTTTATCGAACAAGTATTCCAATGTGTAAATATGTAAATTAGATGAGTGAAGATCAAGTCCACTCTTCCGACTGATGCAACTACTTTATTGAGTGTTGGCCTGAACTGATTACAGCTACATACATAGTTAGCATCTATTGGTCTGTGAAATTCATCAGAATGACGTCCAATTGTTTTCTTTTCTAGGAAAAAAAGAATAGTGCTTCCTCCCTACGTTGGATGATGGAAGCCACGATGAATGTTGCCATAGTGAAAACAAGTTTTAAGACTCAACAAATACGGAAGTTATAAATACATTCATGCTTGCCTCATTTCAACAAGAAAATGTCTGTTTCTACATACACTGTATATGATACATATACATTGATGCATATATGGGGCGTTCCATACTAAAATGGACGGGGATCGGACTTAATGTGTTTGATTTGTTTAAAATTTTTAGGATCGATGGGTAAACATAAAAATAAATAAATACAAAATTTGAGCTTGATTATTACATTCTTAAAACTTTTGCAGCACAAAAACAAAAACAAATCATTTAAAATTTTTCCAAATATCTCGAAAACGGGCGAGAAAAAAATTTGGAAAGAATCACACATCATAATTCTCTATGAAAAGGAATATTTTATTTTTTATTTTTTTCCTTGAAAATTTTTTTTGAAAAATTTAAGTATAATAAAGTGAAAGTTTACGAGACCGCAAAATTGACTTGATTCTTAATATTTTTTTTTGCTTGCTGTTTTTTACACTTTTTTCTTATGGAAGAAAATACGCAAGGCCGTTTGCAATAAATATTAAAAAAAAAAAATTAACGCCGGTTTTTATAAATTGCACTTGTTGTATGAAAAAACCCGCAAAAGCCGCCAGCAAAAAGATATTAAAAATCAACGCGGTTTGCAGGCGCTTAAAACTTGTATTTTATTACACTAAAATTAATGGGCTACAAAACTGCATATCCAAAAAAATTCTTGTATGCCAGATAAAAAGCTCAAAATTTTATTGAAATTTTTTTAAATTTTGCTAAGCTCTGTAAAAAGTTTGAAAGTTTGATTTATATGGTTTCGCTTAAAGCATAAACCATATTTCTATCAAAATATAACAAAAAAATTTACCTTTAAAAACCTTGCAAATATTTAACAATAATCACTATGTACTAATTTATCCTCCCCACTGTATGTATGTACATATGTATTATTTATCCAATGTATATACCGTAGTTTGTTTAAGAAGGTAAAGAAAAAATTAAGTTTCTAGTACTTATAATTGTGTTCTTGTTACAAATAGAAATTGTAGTAGTCCTACTTCAAAGAAAACGGCCGCACTCGTTCAATCTCTTTAGCGCCATTTCGAGGTAATATTTCCATTGAATAATATACTTTTTCCCTAGCATCAAGGAATGTTTTTTCTGAGTGTACGCAACTTAGGTGTAAATAAAAATTCATAACTCAAATTATCGTACAGTGCACCCAATAATGCTATGCTTTAATATTGCGCAATACTCAGAATTTTTCCAATTTTTTTAGAGATGGTATATTTAAAAAAACTAATTTCTTTGACAAAAAATTTGTTTGTAAAAAATTTTTCAAGGAAAAACATGTTTAACCAACATTTCTTCCCATAGAGAATAATAATGTGTGAACGTGTGATTTTTTTCAGATTTCTTCCTCGCTCCGTTCTCGAGATTTTTGGAAAACTATTAAATCTATTTGTTTTTATTTTTGTGCTGTAAAGTTTTTAAAAATGTATTAATCAAGTTCAAATTTCATATTTATTTATATTTATCCATCGACCCTATAAAATTTGAAACAAATCAAACACATGAAGTCCGAACCCCGTCCATTTTTGTATGGAACGCCCCATATATGCATACATACATATATAATTTATGTACCTGAAATTTCCAATTTCAAGTGCTTACCGGTTTAAAAATAATTTCCCAATATTCTTCGAAATTTCGAAAATTCCCGTTAAATATCTTCTTGGCTATGTGGTTGTGCTACGGAGGGGTGTGGCTTAAACCAGTCTCATATGATGCTCTTATGAAACGTAAGTAGTACACACATGCATGCATACATACCTTCGCCATCAACTGTTCACGTCTCACGTCCAATGAGCGCGTCTGCGCATCGCACGAACAGCAGCAATTGCTGCAACAACACAGAAACAGACAATGCTGAAGCGAAACCAAATTTACTCTCTTTTCCTTTATTGTTTTTTAATGAGTTTGAGTTGATGAAGAAATTTAATTTATGTGACTACCCAACGTCAAACCAATCCCACGTAGGAAATATTGCTACAGCCATGTCCATGCAACCCACCACCCACCACTCACCACCCGTCACCGACGTTTTTGCCGCTAAATGGACACACGAGGATGCTCTGGTCATCATTCAAGTTTAATGAAAAACGTTCACTGCAACTCAAAGGAGCGACGATGTTGATGAAGTGCTGTGGATTGGTACAAGTGAGAAGCGGCAAGCGTAGTTCATGTGTATCAGGGGGAAAATAGGGACAGGCAGAGTGGACAACTGGGCAGCTGTAAGCAAAGTCCACACACATACATATGTAGGTATGCATGTGTGGTGCTTGTGTATGTGTGTATGAAATGGGTACTGGAAATTAAATAAAGTGACGTTGCTATCGAACGAAAATTTCACTCACTCGCTGCTCACGCAAAGTAACAAAAAAAAAAACAAGTAAGGACAGGGCTGCTCACGGCTTCATACCATTCATGAATAATAGAAAATTTAACTTAAACCTATGTACATATATATTAAAAAAAAAATGTAGCTGTTGTTCGAGAGCCTACACATTATGTTAACAGGGCGATTTCGCCACAGTCTTTCGAAAACCAAAAATCTTTTGTAAGAAAATTACACAGGTTTACCAAAAAATATGACAAAAAATTTATTCAATAAAAATAAAAATAAAATTTTTTGTTTTTGTTGTTGTTGAATCCGAAGATAGAACCCCTATCTTCGGATTCAACGTCATCTAGAGGTCATGCCAAGGTCATCCCAAGCTCATATACAGACAAATTTATTGAATTTTCAGGTCTATTCAATGAATTTTTCCGTACTTGACCTTAAAATAACCTCGAATCTGACGTGAGGAAGGATAGCGGGCCTCGGACTCTCATTCAGGGCGAATAGGGGTATAGAGGTTTGGTTCAATATGCAGAACCTTTTTTTTGTAAACCTGTGTTATCAATTTTCCCAACACTCTCCAAAGCTCTTTTGTGCCTTACGAAAGATAATTCTAAAGGGTGAAAACACCAAAACTGCGACACTTTGGGAAGCTTATAACTTACCCAAAACGAATTCAATATTTTGAAATTCAAATACCATAAGCTGACCACATGACCTTAGTTGGACGTAGAAGAAATTTCATTTGAATTTGATTCCTAGTTGAGTTAAAAATGGCAACCGAGTTAGAAACGAGACAAACCATTTTGCACGAGTTTATAAATGATCCGGCCTTAAGTACACGTAAAATTGCTAAAAAACTAAAGATTGCACTATTCGACAGTTTGCAGGGTTTTAATCGGTACAAATAAGGCCTGGCAGTTACG